TAACCGAAACACTAACTTGTAGTTATATAGCGTCATTCATACAGGATAGCATCTCTAAGTGCTGAAAAAGTTTCCATGCCCAAATTAATCACAGTAAACAAAGTCTTCTGTGTTATTAATGTAGCATTAAATAATTTCTAGTGGTGAGCCAGGTGTCTGATACATGTAGAAATCCATCTCCATGAGTATCTAAACCAAACTGAGAATTCCATGCATCCCACCTACACATGGAAATCCCAGAGACAGATTGTTGGAATGGAATGTGCTCTCTCTCTCTCTCATCCTGCTTACCTAATTCCGGAAAGTATTAGGCACAGGTTAGCAGAAGCCAAACCTTGGGAGGGTACATTGGCGAACTGCTGGAGTCTAACCAGCTAAAATCTCATAGAGAGCACTGTCTGCAAGCTTTACCCCTGCTTGTCCAGCAAGAACCACCCTACCCATTGGGGCTTTGTCTTGCAGGGTTATTGGGAGCTGAATGGGAAGATGTCCTGCCCCCGGTGACTGGTCTGCCTTCCAGGTCCTGCTGATGAGCCAGGCTAGAATACTGTGGATCTGCCTGACTCAGGAACCTGACTACCGAGCCTGCCACAGAGGGCTGGCTCAATTCTGACATTCCATTGACAGGCATATCACCTTGAAGCCAGTTCAGCTCCAAGGAGACCCCGCTTACCCCCACCCCAAGGATAATAGTCACTAGTTGGTAATTTGATACTCAACAAGTGCAGGTTTGAGCCATCCCCAGACGGATGGCAGATACCAGGAACTCCATGCGAGCTTCCTGGTGAGCAATGCAGCTCAACACATTGATAGGATTCTATTTCTGCTACACTATCCCATCTGAAGGGCGCTGTATAAATTCAAGTTGTATTTCACTGGATGGGGCAGGAGTGGGGGGAGAAGTTCCTCTTGACGCAAGTTTCGCTTCAGCTTTTAATCTCTGGTTACCGATAAGGTTTGCATTTATGCTGACTTTTACGGGATAATAGTTTAACTTAAACAGCTTCTCATGTGACATGCATTGCACTAAAAAGAAGAAAAGCCTTAGCACATTTATCTGACCTTTGTGAGGAAGATGGATTTGTAATGTAACGCACAATGCTCAAAATCTATCAACACTCAAAGTGTTCACCAGACCATAGCTCTGGCATGCCTGTACTTGTTGCTAATCTAACATTACTGTATATTCATCCATTATATTTTCCTTTTGGATGGATGTGACATCAATTTACAGCCAGAAAAAAAAATTATACACACAATGCCTCTGGGACTTCATCACTGGCAGCTGCTTGGAGCGCAGGGAGATTTGGAGAGATTGCAGAGCCTACAATCACAGAGTTCCCACACCTCCACCTACATAGCAGCAAACCATTGTTATCAGTTAGTAGCTAGGGTTGTCTATTTTCCCTTTTTTTTAATATTCGCTTTCAACAGATAATGTTGACATTTATTTTATTTTAATAATAATACTTTGGTCACTCAATCCACGCCTGTTTGTAGGACACTGCCGTGTGCAATTGGCTGCCATGTTTTGCCCACAAATACAGTCAATTCACTTTACAGTATATTCTGTGAAGCACTTTGAAATGTCTCGATGACGCGATAATGCGCCATATCAAACGCAAGGATTATTATTAATATTATTATTATATTCAATTCGCTTTACAATATATTCTGTGAAGCACTATTATTATTTTTATTATTTTCAAATTCTGGATGTTCTGATCTAGACCCAGGAGGAAGGTCCCCAAAGGATATAATAGCCCAAAGTATATATTTAAAATGTTGTTCTCCTACAAAATGTAGTCCTGCATTGGTTAGAGCACTTGCCTCATAAGCGAGAGGACCTGGGTTCGATTCCCAGGCAGGATGAAATCTTAGGCAGGTTTCCTTACTCCCTACACCTATGTTTACCTAGCAATAAGTAGGAACCTGGTTGTTAGTCTATTGGCGGCTTGCTTTCTGGGGATAATATTCCCTTCAAAAAAAAATAATAATGATAATTTGGTCACTTAATCCAGTTTGTGGATCACGGCTGTGCGCAATTGGCTGCCCCGTTACGCCCACAAAATGTACGGTCAATTCACTTTACAGTATATTCTGTGAAGCGCTTTGAGACGTCTCAACGATGTGATAAGGTGCTACATCAAATGAAAGGATTATTATTATATTATTATATAATAATGCTGGACTTCCTCAAGACTAAAATTGAGGAGATCCGCTCAGCTGCCTCTGCCCTTCCAACTGCCATCCCCTCCCCATCTCCCCCTCACATTCTGGCCCCTACTCATCCCTCCCTCCATACCTTTGACCTTGTCTCCCCCTCCTCTCTCATCACCATTATGACCCATATGAAACCCACCACCTGCTCCCTCAACCCCATCCCTACCCCTCGCCTTATCTCCCTGCTTCACCCGCTTGCCCCTCTACTCCCAGACATCATCAACGTTTCCTTGTCCACTGGCAGTGATCATCCAGAACTCTGCAGCTCGTGCTGTTTCCTGCACCAAGCTGTGTGATTCCATCACCCCCACCCCCACCCAGCTCCACTCCCCAGAGGAAAGAGTTCAAAATGCTCGTGCTCAGCATCAAGGCCCTCCACGGTCTTGCTCTTTCGTGTCTCTGTGACCTGCTAACGCCATACCATCCTGTCCGTTCCCTCCACGCAGCAGGAGATGGCCTGCTCCACATTCCCCGCCCGGCCTGCCCTACCATCGATGATCGGGCCTTCAGCCTCTCTGGCCCCACTGTTTGGACCTCCATCCTGCAGTCCCTACGACTCCCTCCCACCCTTACCTCCTTTAATGCACGCCTCACGACCCTTATCTTCGACCGGGCCACCCTCCTACCCTCCCTCCACCCCTCCTGATCCGAATCCCCTGTTCAGGATCAAATCCCTGACTGTCCAGAACCTTGGGACTAATCCCGACATGAAAGGCACTACAGAAATCATAGAATCATAGAATTATACAGCACAGAAGGAGGCCATTCGTCCCATCGTGTCAGTGCCAGTTCTTTGATAAGATGAAAAAAAGTAATGCATTGTTGTTATTTGTTATTATTATTATAAAAGAACATTTTGTGAGGGTTGCTTAAGACATGGTGATATTAATTTCCGTTCTCTTGTGACAGAGGTGAACTTCCTCATCGATGGTTCAGTTACTCTTAAGCATGGCGACCGGATTCTGATTATGTGAAACACCAGGCTGGCGGAAGAAGGAAATTGATACAAACTTCTACTAATGATAAACAGATACCTCCTCTCTCAGTCAATTTGCAAACCAAGAAATATCTTTGGACTTTGCTAGCCTTCCCCCAGCTACCAAAGCCTTCTTTGATCTGCAAACAAGTCTTTTTCCAGATACAATCTTGTGTTACGTATGCTTCAGTGCATGTTCTTCGCTCCCACTGCTCTCTCATGTGAATCCAAGTACCGCAACAAGAATTTACATTTATATAACGTTTTCCACACCAAGGGAACGTCTCAAAGTGCTTCACACAGCTGACTGGAAGCCTATAATAATAATAATCCTTGCCTTTGATGTAGCACATTATCCCGACGTTGAGACGTCTCAAAGCGCTTCACGGGATATACTGTAAAGTGAATTTGACTGCGTATTTTGTGGGCGAAATGCGGCAGCCAATTATGCACAGCAGTGTCCCACAAACAGTCGTGGATTGAGTGACCACACTTTTTTTTGGAGGGATTATTACCCCGGGAAAGTGATCTGCCAATCGACTAACACCTGGGTTCCTACTTAATAGTAATAATAATAATCCTTGCATTTGATATAGCACTTTTCACGTCGGGAGGCGTCCCAAAGCGCTTCACAGAACACACTGTAAAGTGAATTGACTGTATATTTGTGGGCGAATGCGGCAGCCAATTGCGCACAGCAATGTCCCACAAACAGCCGTAGATTGAAAATGACCAATTTTTATTATTGTTTTGGGTTTTGGAGGGATTATTATTAGGCGTATGGAGTAAGGAAACTTGCCCAAGGTTTCGCCCTCTGCCTGGAATTGAACTCAGGTCTCTCACTTGCAAAGCGAGTGCTCTAACCACTGAGCTACAGGACTCCACATACTGCTTGGTAAACAGAGGAATCAGGAAACTGATCCCAGGGGGAGCCAAGGATTGCAGGTCGGGGGTAGTGATGGGGGTGGGGGGAGAAAGTTGGCCTAAAAGAAGATGCTGCGACACATTGCATCCAACCATTTCACCTGAGGCAGCTCACAAACACTCCAGTACCAATGCAGTGACCACCTTTTGCGCCTATTCCTTTGCAAGTAAGTTATCAGCTCTTAGAACCTGAGTGACAAGTTATTCATGTCATTACAGAAGGTCACAAACAAAACATCCTCATGGGCATTGATATTTGGCTTCATTTCAGTTCAGTTGCAATAGAAACTTGCGCAACACAGGACTGATTTATACCTGAGACAACAATGTCAACAATGTTTCAACTTTGGACCTTTTCCATCAGAAGTGTGGGTTTGGTGCTCAGTCCCCAGCAGTTTTATTTCCTGGTCTGCTTTACATGGATAATTATTACCTCTTCAACAGGCAAAGGTTATCACGAAGACATAGAGGTAGAAAAAAATGAGAGCTTTGAGCCACTACCACAAAGACTTGAAGCTTTTACTTTAGGAGCAATCTCTTTTCGCAGAGGGTGAGGTGAGATTGGTACTACAATCTGTCACTGACTTCATGACTCTTTGTGGAACGCTGCTGTGTGCTATTGGCAGCCCCGTTTTGCCCACAAAAATATACGGTCAATTCACTTTACAGTACATTCTGTCAAGTGCTTTTATTGATTGATGACTCCCTGGCTTCCATGATCCTGGCAGTCGCAAACATATGTCATGTCACAAATGATATACTGTATATAGAGACCCCAATGAATAAGAATATACTCTCCATACGCTAGCTTTGCTAAATCAGAAACACTGCCTCACAATAGGATAAGACTGGCAGAATTCAACACGAGTGCACGTACCTGTCAGTAGAGGCAGCTACTGAAGGATCAGGAGCCTCATTCAGTTCCTGGACAAAACAAAAAGCAACAGATAGATGTTTTGACTGCTCTAAACATTGCATTCGCCAATAGAAAAATCTTCACACTTCACACTGAACAGCTTTGGAAGCGCAACAGTTTTTTCACACGAGAAATAAACACAACTCTAAAATAAAATTGTGACAAAGTTAATCCTCGGACTCCCTCTTGGAAGAGAACTTTGAGACTGGACATCAAAATAGTGGGTTCATCTTACAACACTTTGTTTGATACTTAACACCACAAATGCACCCTGATGTACGTGAAGCAGACCTGCCTGACCAGTGTCTCAATGGTAATTTCCATGAAGCCAGGTCTGCAGCATTGGATTTGCAGTTTGTGGGATACCAGCATCTTTCTGTTTAATAGGAGCCTATAGCTGTCTGCCGCAATCAAAATAAAATATATAAAATATATAAAAATAGTTTTACCCACAAAATATACAGTCAATTCACTTTACTGTATATTCTGAAGCCTTTTGGGACATCTCAATGATGTGCTAAGGTACTATATCAAATGCAAGGATTATTGATGTCCTGGGATGTCCTCCTGATGTGAAAGGCACTATACAAATGTACTTTTCTAATGTATTTTATTATTCTTTTTATTATCAAATACCTGACTTCACAGATGTTCCCATTCAGAACAATGGCAACGGGAGGGAGGGGGGGAGTGGAGGACAAAATGGGGGTGTGGGGAGCAGGGCATCAGCCTCTGGACACATCTAAGTTGACTTCAAGGTGGTGAAAGAACAGGATAGCTGCTGCATTGCTGATGCAGGTCCAGGGGCTCAGCGTTCAATAGTGCAATGGATGAATATTCAGTAAGTTTTGCTCAGTTACAATAGGAAGCATTTATAACGAAACATTCTCTTGGGAAAACAACCAAGATGGAGAACATGCAATAAGGTAGCTCTGTGGAAGCAAAGTCTTCCTCAGCTAGGCCATTCGGAGTGCGGGAGGGAATGAGGGAATGAGGGAGGGAGGGAGTGAGCGAGGGATTGAGGGTGGGAGGGAGGGAGAGAGCGAGCGAAGGAGCGTAGGTGTCTACCAGACAAGCCTGGAGGGAGGGAGGGAGGGAAGGAGGGAGGGACCAAGGGGAAAAAAAATCAGAGGCCAGTGAAGGCCAGCTGTTCCTCCACAACAACAACAAATTGCATTTATATAGCACCTCTCAACAGCAGGATAATAGCAGCAAAGCCTGGGAAACAGGACATTATTTTTACATAAGTTTCTAGTCACTGCTCAAAATATAGTAAAAAATACTGTTGAGATATTGCTCAGGGGGTTACCAGCATTTTACAAAATCACTAAATACAGGGAAAAAAATCAGATTCTAATTTTCACGACAATAATGCATCAGGGTCGATCTGGAAGTGTGCTCTGAAGTACTTTATCGAATCTATATTCACTGCAGTACAGAAATAAGTGAAATAATAATCCTTGCATTTGATACAGCATCTTGTCACATCGAAACATCTCAGGTAGCTTCTGCTTTTTTTTTGTCAGGCCGAGTGTCTGATACTTGCGGAAATCCATCACTATTCTGAAGAGTATCCAAACCTAACTTCTGCTTCTTAGGTAACTTCCGTCAAGTGCATTTCGTAGCATTCGCACATAGCAAGGATCTCACAATCAACCAATAAAGCAAACGACTGATTTATCTGGGCAATTGTTTACCAGGGAAAAAAGTATTTTCTCCTTTTGATAGTGGCCTGAGATCTTTTACATCTACCTGGACAGACAGATGGAACCTCGGTTTGACATATCAATTGATAGTTGACACTTCTGATAATGCAGGGTTCCCCCACCCCACCTGGCCAAACTACACTGGCGTACCAGCCAAAACAAGAGAGGAACAGAGTGTGAGACAGACTGAAGGAAACCAAGGAATTGACAGTCAGGGAGGAAGACAGAGACAGATGGTGGAGGGGTGGGGGGCAGGAAGAGAGAGAGATTGAGGCAATCAGTTTAGGGAAAGAACACAAGGGAGTCAGGAGGGGAACAAAGACACACACACACACATTTGGACATTCATTCCACGACTGTTTGTGGGACACTGCTGTGCGCAATTGGCTGCTATAATAATAATAATAATCCTTGCATTTGATATAGCGCTTTTCACGTCGGGAGGACGTCCCAAAGTGCTTCACAGAACACACTGTAAAGTGAATTGACTGTATATTTGTGGGCAAACGCGGCAGCCAATTGCGCACAGCAATGTCCCACAAACAGTCGTAGATTGAAAATGACCAATTTATTATTGTTTTTGTTTTTTGGAGGGATTATTATTAGGCTCTGTGTGGAGAAAGAAAACTTGCCCAAGGTTTTGCCCTCTGCCTGGAATTGAACTCAGGTCTCTCACTCTCACATGTTTCACCCACAAAATACACAGTGAATTCACTTTACAATATATCTGTAAAGCGCTTTGAGACGTCTGAATGATGTGATAAGGCACTATAACAAATGCAAAGAGTTTTATTATAAACAGCTAACAGGAGAGACAGACAGAGCAACACAGATATATATACATACGACAGAAGACAACAAATGCAAACAAACAAGCGAGAGAAACAGATTTCAGCATAATGCTCTACATACTCATGAACATGTGGAGTCCTGTAGCTCAGTGGTTAGAGCAATCGCTTTGCAAGCGAGAGACCTGAGTTCAATTCCAGGCAGAGGGCGAAACCTTGGGCAAGTTTCCTTACTCCACACAGAGCCTAATAATAATCCCTCCAAATCCAAAAACAATAATAAATTGGTCATTTTCAATCTACGACTGTTTGTGGGACATTTCTGTGCGCAATTGGCTGCCGCGTTCACCCACAAATATACAGTCAATTCACTTTACAGTGTGTTCTGTGAAGCGCTTTGGGACGTCCTCCCGACGTGAAAAGCGCTATATCAAATGCAAGGATTATTATTATTATTATTATAACATGTAACATACACAAAAAAAATCCAAAAACATTAATCATAACAAGAACAATTAACACTTACAACCGTGGTGTTCGTGGAAGTGGGTTCCATTTCTTAGCACTGCAAAATTCATGTATTGTAACTCCAAGTGCCTCAAGTCAAAGTCCCTCACTTCCTTATTCTCACTTCACTTTAAGGAAGATAATAAGGGCTGATACATCTAGCTTCGTTGCCTATTAACCCATTGACTCCCACAAGCTCTGACATCCAACCTACCTGGCTGGTCATTCAAACTCACTGAACCATTGTGCAACCTTCGTGTCAGGTTAGATCCTCACTTTTTCTGTCTCACATCGTTTTTTCTTGCTTTCCCAAACTCGATTTTACCGCCAAATGCCACCAAACCCATATCCATCAAACCTTTGTTACCTCCTGCCTGGGCTTCTCAAATGCACTCCTCATTTTTCTCCCCAGCTCCACCATCCAGAAACTACAACTTATTCAAAACTCTGCCACCTGAAACCTCACACACATCAAATAACACACATCCATCACCCTAGTTCTCACCAGGCTCTGCTGGCAACCTAAGGATCGATTTCAAGGCTCTCACTCTCACTTATAAATCCCTTCATGCAGTAGGACCTACCCATCTCTCTGAGCTCACCCCTCCACTTGGCTAACTCAGACTTGTTGCATGTAACAGAGGCGTGTGGAGTAAGGAAACTTGCCCGAGGTTTCACCCTGCCCGGGAATCAAACCCAAGTACGATTGCTTGCGAGATGAGTGCTCTAACCTCTTAGCTCTAAGACTCCACTGATAACATTCATTGATGTTATAAATTAACAGAGATTGCCAACTATTTTACTGATAAGGAATACATCACACCTAGGTCATAATTTACACCTCTTTACATGCAGTACCTTTGAAACCACTTTGCCTTGTTAGTTATGGAGTAAACACTGGGTAAACTTCCACATGCATGGGGATGACACACAAATCTACTTGGTCTCCTCCAGCATCAACTCCAGGCCTGTTGCTGTTCTATCTGCTTGTCTGGCAGACATTAGGGCCTGGGTGAGTGCAAACTGCAGCTGAATATAGACACGATGGAAGCCATACTCTTTGGCTCCCGTCAATGTCTTCACTCCTGCGGATCTAAACTCCTCAACCTCCCTGGTCTCTCCCTCAGACTCACCAAACCAGTGTGCCTGAGTACCGAGGGTCAAAGATAAGCACAGGTGTGCTGGGCATGGGAGCTGTATTATACATACCTTGGCTCACGTTCTATCCTGTGTTCTTTTACAAAACCATAAACCATTGTGGAGTCCTGTAGCTCAGTGGTTAGAGCACTCGCTTTGCAAGCGAGAGACCTGAGTTCAATTCCAGGCAGCACGAAACCTTGGGCAAGTTTCCTCACTCCACACGCCTAATAATAATCCCTCCAAAACAAAAAACAATAATAAATTGGTCATTTTCAATCTACGACTGTTTGTGGGACATTGCTGTGCGCAATTGGCTGCCGCGTTTGCCCACAAATATACAGTCAATTCACTTTACAGTGTGTTCTGTGAAGCACTTTGGGACGTCCTCCCGACGTGAAAAGCGCTATATCAAATGCAAGGATTATTATTATTATTAAACAAAAGTGACTGGATACACAGCCCCCTCACTACCTGACAGAGGCAGTCTCTCAAAGAAACATTGATGCCTTAAAAGTGCTAACAATTCAGCCACTCGGCTCTCTGGGTTTTTCTCCCCCAAATCCCCTTGCTTTGGCACTTCTTGGTCTGCCTTCAAAACCCTTTAAAAAAAAGTGCTATAAAGATGCAGGTTATTGCTGTTGGCAGCCTCTGTCTCTGCCTTCAAAACACACATGTATGTACACATGCTCACACAAACACAACACTGCACATGAGTCAGACCAATCATACACTTCCATTAGATTGCAATTTTGACATCCTTGTCTAAAAATGATGATTTCATACTTTAACCATCACCGATAACAAGCCGTGCATTTGATATACTGTAGTGTCTTTTCACGTGGTCAAGCTGTCTCAAAACGCTTCACA